CACACACACACACACACTTGTTTTTATATCTTAGTGAGGACATCAAATTGACATAATGCTTTCCCTACCCACTTACCCTAACCATCAAAAATGATGGACATTTAGTCCCCACGAGGAAATGTTGGTCCCCACAAGCATAGCAACATTCCAATTTTTGGTCCTCACAAAGATATCTAAACATGGTACACACACACACGTCACTTTGCCCTGTTTGGCTGTGTGCTAGGTTGATTTCTATTCATATTTATCTGGCCTATCAGCTTAGCACAGAGGAAACGGTAAAACGGTCTGTGACCCTGGAGAACAGCCAGACTTTTCCTGTCTTTGTTCCAAATTGTCTGTCATCATACTTCAGTCATCATCATGTGAAATCACAGTGAGAATTTTACAGAAGACGAAAGAGGAAGGAAAAAAATAAACTTAGTTCTATTTCTTCAAAACCCATTAGTCTCTGTTAATCATGAGGCAGCTTCCTTTTTTCCACGCATCTTAAGTCTTAAGTCAACTCTGAGCAATTACATATCACTGAAACTAAATTAAATGAATTTGTATCAGCAGGCTTTCCTCTTCACAACAGCAGCTTTTTTTTTCTGTGAGCGAGTAAATGGAAACAAACTGTCTTCTGTGGACTGAGACAGAAAGGCCATCCAACATCGCACCCTAGGCCTGGTGTGACCCTGCATTTTTATGTGAGCATAGTATTCAAAATTCAGCTGTTTTCAGCTTTGTTGAAATGATAATGACAGAAATGGGGCAATCGTGGCTCAAAGAGTTGTCAGTTTGTCTTGTTGCCGGTTCGAGCCCCTGCTTGGACAGTCTGGGTCGTTGTGTCCTTGGGCAAGACACTTCACCTGCCGCCTACTGGTGTTAGCCAGAGGGGCCGATAGCGTGATATGGCAGCCTCGCTTCTGTCAGTCTGCCCCAGGGCAGCTGTGGCTACAACTGTAGCTTGCCTCCACCAGTATGTGCTTTGAGGGCCCCAAAAAGCGCTATATAAATGCAATCCATTATTTTTATTAAATGGCCGAGGGGCTCTGGTCACTGATCACAGAACAGTGATTCCATATGCAGTTGCTTCAATCAGTACAAGGGTCATGCAGACTAACATTGTTTGCTATCTTGGCACAAAGAACAATCTTGTCTGTCATGTAGAATAAAATGATCAGTGTTTGACATATTACTGGTCATGACATCCTACAATCTAGAAAGAATGATGACTATTAGAGAATTACAAGCCAGGGAACAGCGCTGTTAGTGGGTGAGCAGACAGATGAGGAAATAAAATGATTCCAAATCTAAACCGAAGTTTGAGTTTCAAAATCACAAAGGAGAATTTCAACAAAGCCACGAGGAAGATGACACACCAGGGGGTTACTGGAAGCAGTGGCAAGAGCAAGAGTAAGCACTTAGAAGCCAAGCAAAACATGGAGGTAAGAGAACACAGGACTGAGACAGGATTCAGCTGGGAGACATGACATGCTGAATGAATTATCATAGATTTAGGTAGTTTTAGACAGACAGCGGATGGAGTTATGATTTCTTCAATTACATAGGGGCTCTAAAGAGATGTCATTGATGACAACCAAACATGTTGATCTAAATGAAAACAGGTGTCCCCCATCAATCTGCCAGTTTCTTATGTCGTTCAGCTGTCTCAAGAAACACACCCTTGGCCTCGTCCCATGCTTTCCTGAGCTGTTAACAGAGGGGGATGGGTGAGGTGGGAACAACCCAGTGCACTACAGCTTTTATTTGTTTCGAGCTCTGTCTTCATCTGCCCACTCGCAAGGAGGTAGCCCAGTAAAGAACCTGACATTTCTTTGCATTAACTTCCTCACATTTTTCTGGTGATCAACTGGGTCTTTAGTAACTTTAAGTTATACATATCAGCTTCCACCTATCTTTACACCAGCTTTCTTCTCATTGGTTACCCCTGACAAACAAACATTCGATCGTCAGGTGGGTGGGGCTACTGTGTTCACAGGCAGAGCTGTCTTTTTAAATTTTTTAAAACCTCAAATAGAAGAAAATTAGAAACCCAGAAGATGTGTGAGGTCATGCTTATATATTTTATATATTTATTTACTTATTTTTAGGTTGTGACTTCTAGGACTCGGTGATAATGTGATTCTCTGCAGGTGTGCTCATGTGCTAGACAGTAAAGTCTAAAAAAGTAAAGTAAACCTTGGAGACAGGCTGCTAGGGATTATTATACTCTACCTACATTAAACCACCTTTCTTTGAACAACGTTTCCTTAGGCTAAAGATAATAAAAGAAGAGTTAATCCTTGTGAACACTAAAGCTCATTCCACCGGAGTATTGTCGTCCACTCCAGTGTTGCTACAGCCTGTTATGTGTTCTGTGAGGTGTCAACTGATAGCTCTAAGCGCTGTTGCACTACCAGTTGTCATTCCTCCTAAGCGAGTGCTTTTTCATATTTCAGTGGTGTAAAATTAGTCTAGAAATGTTTACAAAAGCATATGGTATGATCCATGAACATAAACTAAGATTTACAAATCTGCACAATGATTTGCGTGTTTTGACTTCTCACAAATGCATTTGCCAACCCACACACAAATACACAGCAACCTGAACACAGGTAAAATTATTTTGCAAATGCATAAATAGAAATTGTTACGGATTCAAATATTGGGGATGGATACAAGAGGAAAAACCACAATAACAACACTGGTCCGGCCGGGTTAAGTCAAA